CAAAGCTTACAAATATCATAAAAGCGCGTTACAACACTTTAGTGTCAGACTTAAAATGATAACAACTAATAAATTAAAAAAAAATTAACATAACAACTTTATTTAGGCTCTTTTAATTGATTGATGAAGTCTATCTCCATATAGCTCATGTTCTCCTTGTGCTAGATCAAAAAAATTCAAGAAGTTAAATGAAAGAAAGGCATAGCCATTTAAAATTATGTGTTGCAGTAGGGAACATGTCAACATATTAAAATTTCTAGGGAGTTCTAACATTATTCTAATCTTGATTGAATTCATTTTATAAAATTAAAATCAAGATCATGGATTCTTTTCTTTCCAACTCGTCCTTACGGATTGGCATTTAACACTATGGCAAACAAATCTATATTTCTTATTGTTAAAGCTATTATAAACGATGAAATGGTCCAAATATTGATGGTGAATCAGGAGAATACTATGCATTAAATAATAGATTTATTTGTGATAATTTTTGGATTCTATTGCTAAAAGCATAACATTTATATCTTGATTTGCTTGATGAATCAAATGTTAAATTCAGTGGAGTTGAATTTGGACAATCAAAGAGACTAGATGGAATTATAGAAGTATAAATTCGTGGGAAAAAACAAGTTATGTTCATACAGAAGAGAAAATCTGCACATTTATTTTATACTGTAATTTTTATTTCCTTCTTCTGACTTTATTTACTTCTATTTGTCTGAACAAGTTTGTGATGATATGACCAACAAGAGTAGCATGTTTTGCTTTTATTTTTTTTTTTTATTAGCTATGAATTTTTTGTTGTTCTAAAAATGAATTATATTGCTTGAGGTTTTTTACTACAAATTAGAGCACCATTCCAGATCTAGTACCATGTTCATTTACTGAGTCCATCAAAATAAATGATCTGGCCATATAACAAGTGGTTTCTAATGCTCATGTTTTGTGCTCCTATAACATTTGCTGATATATATGAACTATTATTGTGTGCATATCTTGTTGCTTGAGATCACCAACTTCGTTGTACAACCGGGACCAATTTTATTGATCTATCCACATGAACCCTATCAATTTTGAATTGAGATTAGCCACTTCAAATTTGTAGATTATAATGTGGAAAGCAAATGTATACAAATGAACTTTAAGGCAAGTAATAATTCAATATTTGATTTACTAAAATTTTAACTTATTTTCAAATTTGTGTACTTGGTTGGATACAGATTCCTTTCAGTGCAGAGGCTGAATGCCCTATGTTTGGTGATCTATTACCCTATACCCCTTTTATATGTAATTGATTACTTATTTTGCAAAGGGTGGTTGATTTTAACCAAATTCACAATGACTAGTTTTTCAATTGCTCTGTTAATTCCAAGCACACTGTGCTATTGGTGACTTTAAATTTTATGTTGAATTCATCTGTTTGACTGACTATCATTATCTTTTGGCACGGAAGTTGAATGTTTTTTATGTTAATTTATAGAATTAAAATTTCTTACTCTAATTGGCATTATTTTGAATTAAAATTTTCTAAATACAATTTGTATGGCTTCATCTATCACATCATATAGTTGGACTAAAAACCCTAGAACCTAAGAAAATATATTTCATTCAAGAACTTGCGAACTATGCACATGAATGTGTAACAAACATCTTTTATTTATTCATGTACCATATGTCGAGATCATTTTGTCACCAAGGCGTGTTCATCACATGAACGTTTAACCACATGAGAGATGGAGATAATAAGGGTTTTAAAGAAGAAGCCCACAAATTAACGAAGATTCCATGATAAAAAAAATATGCCTGCAAAACATCTCATTCAACACAGAAAAGATAATCTAAAGAAAAATGCACGTTTGGTATTCGAATGAGTCACATTTGGAGAGCCGTTCATTGGGTTGATAGTCTATCATGATGTAAGAGATCCTCGTAAATAATAGAGCTTTTTGTCGAAAAAACCGGTGCACTATGATTTTAAAGGACCTAGAGATTGATGAGAAAAGCAAAATTTAACTAAGATTCTTTGCTTTGTAAAATGGGTGAGAAAATGTCAATAAAAATGGTTATGAATAATCAAGATAGCATATTTGAGCATACATCATGTTTTGTGGAAGGTACTATTGCTTATCTAGAATCATTTATTCATTATATCTAGGGTTGTGCCATAATAATAATCATATTAATAATAATAATAATTAATCCAAAAACCAAACCAACTAATCACATCATTTTAATTTGATTTGAAATTGTTTCACATCAAAGAATAATAAAGATATTTTTATACCATTCTATAAATTCTATTGGGTAGATTATCATACAAAACTGTTACAGAATAAACCCTATATGTGAAGGAGAACGAGGATTTTACTCATTACAAATCCATGATGTTGTTTCAATAAGAAAGTAGAAAAAATTATTTGCATCTAAGCTGAACTTAGTAGGAAAAATACACCCAAAAAAATTTTCTTATTCATAAGAGCAGTTTAAATAAAGGGGCTTTTGCTTACATAGCACCCACAACTTTTATATTTATCTATCTCACTCCTAAAATTTCATAATTACAAACATCATATGAAAAGTAACACTAATTATCATCTTTTAATAGTCAAATATATCTTTTCATTCATACGTAAAGTGCTATGTGTGTAAAAATGAAAGTTTAGGTGTGTGATTGGTAAATCCATAGGATTTAGGTGCCATGTATGTAATTTTCCCATAAATAGATCAATAAAACAAAAGAAAAAGCAGAAAAATTAAATTAGCATGCATCTTCTGCCATATATATCATCATAGTAAACACATGCCACAAATAATATATGCTAGTTTTTACTCCTTGATATAGCGCGTATTATTTTACATTATTGGCATATATGCATTTAGCATAGAATGAAGTTAAATTAATAGTGATTTTCCTAAGGAATTTCGGACCTGTAGTGCAATCATAAGCAAAAAAATGAATCACGAGACTAACAACTCAATAACCTAGACTTATAAAGGATCTTGCGACTATAGTGGGGCTGAAAGAAAAGCTACCGATCAAAGAAATCCCCGCCACTAGGGAAAAACAAAGCACTGGTAAGCTTTAACAAGCAAAGCATAAGAAGGCAAGATGGAAATGGAAACCTCCATGAGTCATAATAGACAAGTGATATAAACCTTCTAGCAAATTCTTCTTTATCCTTTAACGCTTGTTAACACTCCTCATTCACATCAATTTCTCATACTTCAAAACTTATCTAACTAGCCGCGGCCTTCTACATGTAACAGTAGTGTCCTACAGCATGCTCACCACCATCAAGGTCAGTCATTGCTCGTAATTTTTTTAACCAAATCCTCAATAATTCAATTGCTTTCCAAAAAATGTGGAATATATACTGAGGAAATTAATGTAGCTTGCTTTAAAAAAGTTTTCTTCCTAAATTGAATATAAAAGCAAAGTAAGATCTCCATGCTCATTCTCTAACCTGAACCTTAACGACTTCAAAAATCATTTATTCAAGCCTTCGTAAGGAGTTTGCAGCTCTAATAGCTTTGAATATTGCTTGTCAATCGGTTTTTTTGCAGGATCATTTAATTCTAATTGTAACCTGATCTTTAATATTTGTTTAACCAAGGCATTTGAAAGATTCTGAGAATAATGCCTTGGCTAAACTATGGATTAAAAGATTTGAAAACTCATGGTTTATGAATGTCACTAAATATTCAATATTATATTGATAAAGAATCTTCTTCGAAGAGTAAAATGTTTCAAATGAGGTACTTTTTTCTAATTACTAATATATTGCAGCTTATCCATTTTTACATCATATGCTTGATATCTATTATTTCATGATGAAAGTGTAAATTGATAAGTAACCTTCTGAAAATATTCCAAGGAAATTATTATGACGTCCTTAGGAAGATAAACTAGAAACAACAAGCAGGCTGTAGGTTGGTTAGCTCATAAATAAATAAGAAAACCTCAAGACCATCCACCAGCATAAAGAGCTACTGAAGGTCCACCTGCTACCTCGTTTCATATTGTGCTTGCTGATCTTAACGATACAGTACCATATGCAGAAAAACTTACAGTTGCCATTAACAAAATGGTAACCAAAGCACCATATCCATGTGCTAACTTGATGCTTCAAGAATTCAAGTTCTTAGCAATTGTAACGGGAATTTGCATGGCAATGACGGTAAAGAAAGCCTTACTGCAACGTTATACAACAGCTTCCAGCAAATTCAAAAGAAAATTTTGGTTCAGTAATTTCCGATTCTTGAACAACAGATTGAGGTCAATCTCCTTCATTCAACCCAACAGTATGTTTTCCTTCTAAATATCTTGCTTTGCTTAAAATAAAAAAACATGAAATATTTTCACTTGGGTATTCAAGACTTCAAAATGGAAAGAAATGTGAATTAATATATGGTTCATTCCACAAAATAAAATATAGGAAGAGCAAGTTATACCTAACAAACAAATAAGTTTTTTATACTTTGTTGTGGTTACAGTTCTTTAAGAGTCAACATCTTCAAAATAAAAGATCTGAATTCTCAAAATTGTGAGTATGTCTACACATAGAAAGTAAGTCCAAGAACAAAACTAGCCAAATAAGAAAATTCTAAAAGCCAATTGTCACCAATCATTGCAAATTTGCCGCAATGCAATACTTTGAATATATATTTCCTCTGGAACTTGGCCAGCCAACATTATGTTCTAACACTAAACAGACATCAAGTACAAATAGAAAAAAACCAACCATGTGGCCCCTGACTCGAGATAGAAAACACTGAGTTTCTACTTAAGAAAAGGAAAAAATCAAGTCTCCTTGCATAGTAAAAGTAATATCTTAACAAAAACAAATCGAGCAAACACCTTTTGAATCAATCATCACCCAGCTTTTCCAATTTGCAAAATATCTTAGGTGCGAACCTTGTAACAATAAGACCAATAATAACTTCAACCGCAAAGCAGACAGCAATCACTGAAAGAATATATCCAACTATGAGATGCAAACCTTGTAGAAAGCGCCAAAGCCATCTTGAGAAAGCATGTTCTTCGTAATATGCACGGCCGATCCCTGTCCTAGCTGGATCCTCACCTGAAATCCAAACACAAAGACCTCAAAACACAAAAATACGAATACAAAATTACATCATACATAGCGGCAGAACCGGTAATACACATAACTACAAAAATTTTAATGCAAAACTACAAATGAATTTATCCAAACAGAGGAGGGAGAGTCCCTCATTCCGCCACTGATCATACACAAAACATCTGATCGCCCTTCAACAATTATCCTACCAAACAAATCTATACCAAAACTTCGCTCTAAAGGAACCAGATTCTTCACCGAGACAAAGAATGTCAGCGCACCTTGATCATATCGATTGGTTGGATGACGCAGGTTGCGAGCATGCCGGATGCTCCGCCGTTAACGAAGGGCTTGACAGTGTTCCAGACGCCGGACTGGCTCTTCGGCTTCGCCTCCCCCATTTCCACCGGCAAGGCTGATCAGAGGGAAAAGGGGACAGAGGGCGCCAATGGCGAGGCTGAAAGCGCAGCGGGGAGACGGGGCATTGGGTATAAATATGGCCGAGAGGGACCGGTCGGGTTCTTTCTAGGGGTAAAGGCTTTGGGCCTGGCCCCATCAGCTGTTGCTGGCTTATTCCGTTTATGAGGGAGAGTGCTTGATGCCACGTGTTTATTTCTTATTGCGCAGCCAAGGTGAAAGGGAGCACAGTGAATATATTATCTTATTTCTTCTCCTTAAATTTAAACTTATGCAAGGACCTCTATAACTCTTATTTACTCTCAAATAATTGCTTAACTTCTAAATTTACTAAGGATAAACTCAAGCATGAAGTCATTATATTTGTAGCCATTAAATTAGAGTTCCTTTAAGCACTAACCCTGATAGAGCACGAGCTATTCTTTTATTCTTCATCTCTTAAATTAATGTTTTTTTCCAAAGCTAAAAGAACAAAAAAAAACATTTGTTAATAATTTTTAGACACGTCATAATTTGAGGTTATAAGTTTAATTAGGTTATTAATATTGAAGCATCTATAGAGCCATTATCATTTATATCATGCATTTCACTATCTCTTTTTTTTTTGCATATGGTATATCTAAATCATGGCCTATATCAATGAAAAGTGTTGTAATTACTTGATCATGTATCAGTCTTATTTAAATTAAAATCATTTTGGAACCAAAATATATAAATATTCGAGATTGATGTTGAGGCGATATTGGAATCACATTAAAAACATCATGATTTTTAATAGTCTATTAAGAAATAAAATTATGGAAGAAGATTCACTAAAGTAGGACATCTTTTTATCTAGTTTTATTAAAATTTATAACTTTGTAAATAAGATTTATAAGATATTTAAGAGAAATAATTCCTTATATCATTCATTTTTTTATGAAATTTAACAAATTATTCAAGTAACTTGGTTTTCTTCTTTCTTTTCAAATCCATGCAAAACAAAAATATAATATTTGATTCACCTTTAAAAAATAATTAGTTAATATATAACTTCAATATCAAAAGTTTGTGTCTCAATATATTTTGAGAGGTTATAAGTATGAAGTAATTAATGAGCTTGGGTTAAAATATAAGAGTTTATAAAAATTTTCTTATTCTTCCACTCTCTCAATTTTTTTTTTAAATGATAGTTTTTTTGCTAAAAAAAACTTTAACAACTAATTTAAACCTATCTAAGGACTTGATCTACAACAAAGCCACATCGTTCACAAGAAATTTTTAAAATTTTAAAGCAATTGTGATAACATATGTAAAGTTTGAAAGATGGTACGCATATAAACCTTATCAAAAAAATTTAAGAAATAATTTAATTCAAGCAAACCGTAACATTTGAGATTGATTAATGGTGGGAGATTTTTGTGTCTCCACATCATAGAACTTTCAAAAGACGTTTATCTAAACGACCAAACATAATATTTAAAGTATATTATACTATACCGAGGGGGGAAATACTATCTTAAAATGGGCCTAGTCATTCAGATGATAAAAATCTTTATAAGTCTACAAAACCAAGACTTTTTCCCTTACCTTACGGGTGTAAAAAAAGGTTTATTTTATTCTAAGGTTGTATTCTCTATAAGGGCAAACCCTTATAGTTAATTGCACTTCCAGAGCCACGAGTCCTAAAAAAGACTCGGTTAATATACTGGCATATGCTCTTCAGAATAGAAGGTTGGACTTTCAAAATTAAGATTTTGGAGGTGAAGGAAAAATTTATAGTGGAGTATTAAAAAATTAAGCTCAAAATAATGGGACTTATATTTCGATGACAATATATCATGTAAAGGCCCAAACAAAGGGATTTAACCGTATAAGGAAAAAGGTTTACCCAAATGATGATGGTTGCAGAGTTTGTAAAAACTAGTGGAGAGCTTTGATTAATCGTATGAGGTCAAAAGATGAAATCTAGAATGATTAGTTTGATTTCATTTGAAGTTGTCGATATTAAGGATTTTTAGATAGGAGCAAGGTCCTGGACTCTATAAGAATTATAATAGGTTGACTGACCTAGACTTTATAAATAACATCCTCAATCATGATGCTCATAGCTTTTTGACATCCCAAATAAGTTGGTATCCTTCAGGATGCTCATAGCTTTTTGGCATCTCAAATACGTTGGTATCCTTCAACTACCAATCTTATAACCAAAATCCTCCTTGAGTGTCATGATCATGACATGTGGAGGGTTCCTTAGTTTCTAGGTGATTTGAAATTCCTTTGTTAGTAACAATGAGTTACATCATCCTATGGTAGTCCCTTTATTTTTAGGGGATATAATTGTTATTTTATATGTCCTAGTCCATAGAACAAACTAGAGTATCTATAGAGTGACAAAGGTTTCCATACTTGGACTAACCTAGAGTATATGTGTGATCCTCAGTTCTTGTGTCTAAGTTTGATAACCTAGAGTTTGTTTTGGATCTACTTAGTTATAGTTCCTATTTATGATAGTGCATTGGAGCAAATACCTGACAGTGACTTGATATATGCTTAAAAATACAAGAATTTGACACCACTACTAGAAGATTTAAATCCCCGACAACGGCGCCAAAAACTTGATGCAACTTTTAATATGCAAGAATTTATGAACCCAGATTTATATATTTATAATAATTTTGTAAAGTCACAATTTCAAACGCAAGTATACGTATCGCTCAAGTAATACAGGGCTCTAGTGGAGTCCGGTTTATCGATCCCACAAGGAAGCGAGGTAAGAGGCCCTTAGTCAAATCCTAGTCTACTACAATTAGTCCTTAGTTTGGAATGTCGATTAAAATGATGTTTTATCTAGCAACTACTCCTAAATGCAAGTGTTAAATGTAAAGATAGTAACTATAACTAAATGCAAATATTAATTCTAATGATAACCCTTTTTGGATGAATTGATTTGGAGAATTTTGAGATATTAAAAA